CCTCCCTGTATTGAGCAGGAGGGAGGGAGGGAGACCTGGCTGGATTCTCCTCCCCCCCAAAGAAGGAAATCATAGATTTGGGTGGATTTTCTGGGGGGATCAAAGGGATCCCAGATCCCAGACAGGAGGAGAGTTCAGATCCTGGGGAGAAGAGGGAGATTCCGGAGCTCAGAAGGAAGAAGGAGGCGGAACCGTCACCCGGGAGGAGAATCCCCAGTGGAGGCCAGGAAAGGAAAGGAGGGTCCCGGCCTCCCCCTCCTAGGGAAGAAGAGACCCTCCCGCAGGACTCACCTGTCCGTCCGATCGTTCGCTCCTCCCTCTTGGCCGCCTCGTAGTTCAATGCGTCGTAGTTGTATAGGCAGAAACTATCCACAGTGGCCTTCTGGTACTGCATCCACTGCTTGTCGCTGTTCATTGCCTCCACATCCGCCTCCCCCAACGCCGTGACGGCCACGTGTTTCCCGAGGTCGCTCTCGAAGCGGACGTATTCCTGCCGGTCGTAGATGTACCGATTCAGAAACCGCACCCGTTGTGTCCCGTTGAGGAAGAGGCACTCGTTCTTCGTCTGGTACAGGAAATGGGCTGCCAGGAGGAAGAGGAGGAGGAGGAGGAAGGCCGTCAGGAGGGACCCCAGGGCCCATCGCTCCCAGACGCTAAGAGAGGAGGAGGAGGAAGGTCCCACCAGGAAGAGGGGAGGGTGGGGGGGGACCTTCCTTTGAGAGACTGAAGGGAGAAGCCCCTGGATGAGCCAGGGGGGAATCTCTCACTCTCAGGGGGAGGCAGACTAGGGGGGAGAGAAGAAAGGGGGAGGAGAGGAGCCTCCTCAAGGGACCCCCCCTCCATCCCTTCCAAGGGGCGGGAGGGCAGGCAGAAGCTTCACTGGTGGAGCAGATCTTCTCTCTGCAGGGACCGTTGGATCTCCAAGGGGAGGAACGGGGGGGGGGGATGGCTGGAGGGAAGGTAATATCCACAACTCCTGCGCTCTCTTCCTTTGGGGAGCGTGGAATCTGGAGGGGGCACAAGGAGGACATCTAGATTCCCACTTCTGAAGTCTCCCAGCCCTTCCCCCCCTTCCTTGGATTCCCCCCCCCCAACTTTTCTTCTTCCCCAAATCTTCAGCCCATTTCCCTCCCTTTGGGTGACTGTCAGGGATCCCCACCAGTCTCCAGCCACCCCCCTCACTAAAGGGGGAGCCACTTTCGGAGGAGCAATTCAGAGCCCCCCCCCTCCGTTCCCCCCTCCTCCTCCAGGTCCCGATAGAGCCAGTGGGGGATGATGGGGTGGGGGGTTCTTGGTCCCCTCCCCAAATTCAGAGCCTCCCCCAGAAGGGACCGAAGCTCCCCTCTTGCCTGACATCCAAAGCCTCAAATCTGAAATTCAGAAGAAAAAAGGAAGTTTCTGCAGAAGCCAAAATTCTTTGGCTCTTTTTCCTTCTGGAGCTTCAGGGCTGAAAATGCCTCAATTTCCCTCTTTCGCTTTCGCTTTTCCTTCCCGGCCTCTTTCCAGGCAGCCCACTCCCACCCAGACAATGAGGGGGGGGAGAGAGGGGCCTGGCTGCGACCCCCACCTCGGCTACAATCGGGGAACAAGGGAGGGGCCCCTCTCCCTCCTCCTGGGGGGTGCGCGCAATACGGGTAGGGAAGGGGAAGGAGACCACGCAGAGATCGAAGCTGTTGGAGGCTCTGGAGACCCATCAGTTTCCTTCCCCCTCCGGGGGTCCTTCCCGCCGCCTCCTCCCACGCCCAGCCCCCTCCTTACCGGGGGTCTCCTTCCCCCCTTCGCTTCCAGGGATCCGGCCCAGCGCCCCCACCAGCAGCACCAGGGGGAGCCCAGCCAAAGCCATGGATGCCGCCCCACAAGCGCCCGCAAAGAGAGGCGAGAAGGACGCGGAGGCTCCCGGCCCCCCAGGAGGAATCGGAGGGTCTGAACTGGGGAAGGCGGAGTTTTCCCCTCACTTCGGAACTGGGAGCGTCCAGGAAGAGCAGGAGGACCAATGAGAACCCTCCGTTCTTGCAGCGTCATCGGTCTCCGAGCAGAGTCTCCCTTGACTGCAGCCGATGCAGGAGACAGTTCGACGCAGAGAGAGAAGCGGAGAAAGTGGGAGGGGGATCCTTGCAGTCTTGGGGGGCTGCATTCATCTCGGGGGTCTTTCCTGCCAGCTCCATGCTCCGTGAGGGGAGGGTGGAAGGGGAGAGGGAGGCTCAGAGGCTGGAAGGGACCTGAGAGATCTTCTAGTCTGACTCCCTGGCCGAGGCAGGAGCCCTTATCCCACCCCGGACAAACGGCCGTCCCGCCTCTTCTGGAAATCCCTCCTGATCCCTTCCAGGTCGGATCCCCCTCGGAAGCTTCGGACGATACCATTTCCCCTCCCAGGGGGATCCCCCTTCGCCGGGCTTCTGTCAGCTGAGGGGCGATCCCTAGAGACGCTGCCCCACTCCGGGATCTGCTTCTGGGATCCCAAGTGAGCGGGGGAGAAGATCCCCAGGGCAGGAGGGGGACTCCGGTCGCTCTTCCCC